GTGGACACTTAATGCCGCCGTTTGTGTTCTTCATACATGCTTCATTTCTCATGTCAGCTGTGCAGTTTTGTCTGAAAAATGACATGATCAAGGACCTTGAATTGGTATGAAACTTAATAGGTGAGGGCAGACAATTCCAAGCTGAGAAATTACTATTCCATTCTCTGCTTTAAGCTTTGCTGGATGAACTGAAGACTGTTGGAAACAGAATATTGGACTATATTTTTTTATATTGTTGGGAAGTGATTTACATCAAATTATATACTACAATGTATTTTCAGTATATTTAGCAATATGGGCAGAAATTGGGTTCACCGTCAAAACCGCGCTCGACTAAACCGCGTCGCTGATGTCATTAACAGGGCGACAACAGCGCGGAGACAGAAGCACGACATGGTTTAGTCGGGCGCGGTTTAGTTGAGCGCGGTTTTGACGGGTCACGAGAAATTGGAACCTTCTTAATATAGGGTTAGATATCATTTTATTCTAGATCTCAATTCACTATTCTTTTTATTGGAAATGCAAAAGATTGAATCTAGGGCCTTCTGCAGGCACACATGAGCTTCCCCACTATACTGTAACCACTCTTTAGTTTTTAAAGTATTCGCTGGAAGTGCCAACTGGAAGGTAGCATTTGAATCTAGAGAACGTTTAGTAGCTCCTGTGGTATTGATCATGTGGTGGAACTATTTTGTGTGTGTATGTATTTTTGCTCAATCACTTCAATCCCAAATGAACAAGGTAAGTCCTTCACTTACTATATTTAGGTTTTTGGACCACACCAGTTAGTTTTGCTGTAAGTATATTATGTTTTAATTTTTTAAAAAACTGAAACTTGATTATTTCTTTCAAAAGACAGCAGAGAAGAAGCTGTTCTTGGAAGTATACCATTACCTAGTTATGTAATTTCACCTGTGGGACCTGAAGATCATATAAATCGCAAATATTCCTTTAAGGTAAATGTACTATTTGCAAACTATATGGTTTTTTAAAGCAACCAGATGTGTTGCATTTTGATGTACATATATATTAGTTTTAAAGATTATAGATCTCCCTTTATATTTAATAGAAAAATAGAATTGAAGCATCTCTGTACCATTTTTCCCCAATATAGTCTTGCTACATTGAAAAGTTGTCATAAAAGAAGCTAGTTGACTTTCTGATGCAATGGGATAACTTGCAACTGAAACAATATCTGAAATATCTTTGGGTAGATTTTGCAAAACAATAGGTTTTGGACTTTTATTTTCCTTGACTGCTCTGAATTGAGCCAATCTGGAATGATTCCAATTTGCAAATTACATGATAAATTCTAATTCTGTAGTTAGAATAATGTATTTATAAACATTGTATAGCATGTTTTTAAACAGCAAGCTCATTAAATAAAGAGGATGACTTCTGAAGTTCTGCAATAGTTGTCTTAAAACTCCAAAGTTTTACCCTTGTTGCATATGCAATATTTTATTTTTTGCTTCTCATTAGGAATGGGATTAGTTTTAACTAATGGGATTAGTTTTAACATAACTAGCACTAGTTTGTATTTGGAAAATCATTTCAACCCATAGTTAAATTTAGGCTTTGTTGCTATTATTTAGTATACAATACTTAGTACTCTGGTTTAACATTAAAACCCAGAAACATATAGTGCTGAACAAATTAATAATTCACATAAGAGATGGTATATTGTGGTTGAAAGTATGCTTAACTAAAAAGAAAATCTAAGTCAAATTAAAAATACAGGTTATCCATATTTGTATTCGGCTTTCCAAAAATAATTAGATGTTACATTATATATAAAAAGCTAAAGATTTTGGCTAGGTGCTTTACAATGGAAAAATGATTTAAGATAGCTTCATGGCTATGTTCCTTCATTTTGTTTCAGGAACTGTAATTAGCACTGAATGTGCTAATTTTATATTACATAAACTATCATAAACCTAAACCACAGTTCTTCCAATTGCAAAGTAGTTTGTTGATTTCATTATGTGTCTGCAAAATGCTAACCCACAAACTGCACCCAAGTAGAAAGTAAGGCAGCAGTGCTTCCAGAAGAGATAATAGATTTATTTATCTATAATATAGTCCCAAAAGTTTAATTACTATGGGGCTTAATTAGGTGGTATTACATTTTATCAGTGTACATATTTTATAGATGGAAGAGAGTGCAATTGAATTACCTGTAATGAATACATAATTCTAACTTCCTCATAAAATATGTATGCTAAATTATACTCTAGAAAATTGTAGATTATTGATTAGTAAAATAAATTACATGCTACATTTTTCACAGATACAAATGTTCAAATCACTTCTGATCCTGAAGATAAAAATAGAGATAGATGAATTAGCTTCCCTGACAGTTTGCCCAGTGATATATACTGTGAACCTTGAAACTAACAGTTTACAACAGTAAAATATAAAAACTAATACATAATAAAAGAAAGCCATGCTGCAGGCCCCATCTACAAAGGAATGTATCTGATGGGAGACTAGAAGGCAGCATTTTCTGCCACAGTACTTGTCCTCTGGAAGATCATTGCTCCTGAGGTTGGATTAACCCTAATCTTGCTGGTCTTCCAGAAAAGCCTGAAAACGTGGCTTTGCCATCTGGTTTGGGGATCCAATGACATGGGAATGGGACCTGCTAAGTAGCTGTATTGCTAGGGAAATGGAATGCTGGTGTAGGGTGTTTTTTTGTAATGTTTTTTAATTTTTAAAAAATTGTTATTGGGTGATAGGTCACAATTGAGCCCAACATTTATGTTGCTAAGTGAGACATTTGTTAAGTGAGTTTTGCCCCATTTTAAGACCTTCCCTGCCACAGTTGTTAAGTGAATCACTGTAGTTATTAACTTAGTAACCAGTTTGTTAAGTGAATCAGGCTTCCCCATTAACTTCGCTGATCAGAGGTTTGCAAAAGCTGATCATGTGATCCCAGGACACTGCAACTGTCGTAAATATGAACTAGTTGCCAAGCGTCTGCATTTTGATCATGTGACCTCAGGGATGCAATGGCTGTAAGTGTGTAAACATAAGTCCCTTTTTCCAGTGCTGTTGTAATTTGAATGGTCGCTAAATGAACTGTGATAAGGCAAGGACTAACAGTGTTTTGCTGTATAGTTTCGGTGTATTTAACTTTGTACATCACTCAGAGTTATTTGTGTGAGTAGCATGGCTAAATTTAGAAAATAAATAAAATAAAAACTAGATTGAATAAAAATAGAGCAGTCAATGAAAATAAAAACAGTTTAAAAAACACAATATAATATAGTTCAAGTTCAGATCTCACCTTCATTGGTCTCTGTGAACACTATATAGCTGCAATCCCCTACAAAATAATTCTTTTTTTAAAAGAATTATTAGAATTATTTATTTATCAGTGCACAACATATGTACAATGAGATTGATTGAGCTCCCTCAGTGCACCCCTCCCCCCCAACACAACGGAACTCACAATGAAGACAGAAAATCCCTAACTCAATAAATCATATTAACAAACATCCAGTCCTATTGCACCAATGTGAACATGTTACATGTTGTGCAGGACCTGCAAGTCCATCTTACTACATAGTTATGATGTTATTTTGTATTCAGGAATCTGACAGCCCACAGATAGAAACTGTTCTTCAGCCTGTTTGGGCGGCTGGCTTTGCTTTTATATCTCCTTCCCAATGGTAGGAGGGGTAAAGAAGTACCATCCAGGGTGTGAGTCGTCCCATTCACTTTTCACTACTTTATGAAAGTATGTCCCTGTTGAAACAAGTCTCATTTCTAATAGGACATAGGCAGTGGTGGGTTCCTACCGGTTTGGACTGGTTCAGCCGAATCATTAATAGCTTGGTGGTGTGGGTCACTGGAACTGTCAGTGACCCAGGCCTACCAGGCCCCCGAACCTGTTCTCCCGGCAGCACCATAGGCAGCACCACCTTTTTTTTGCTTCTGCGCATGCGCAGAGTAATTTTCATTGTACTGTGCATATGCGCACAGCGCACTGCAGGGCGCGCCACAGGGCACATCCCTGGGTGCATCCCAGTAGCAGCTGCCGGAACCCAGCACTGGACATGGGAGGCCTTAACCTTTAGACTCCCTCTGATGTAAATTCCCACATGGGTACAGATAATATCAGATAATATCTCTAGCTGGGATGAACTCTTTGTGTAAGATAACTCTACCAGGAAAAGGCATTCCTGCAGATACCTAGCAGCCAAGCTGTTGAGGGCGTTAAAAGTCAAAATCAATATTTTGAATTGTATATGGAAACTGTAGACAGCCCATGCAGCATCTGCAGTATATTGATAACCTAGCTGTAGCAGCTTTCACTCTCCATAGTTCCAGAGGCTTCAGTCTACGGTAACGCAGTGATTAGAGTGCAGTACTGTAGTCTACTTCTGCTGACTGCCTACTGCCTATAATTTGGCAGTTCAAATCTCACCAGGCTCAAGGTTGACTCAGCCTTCCATCCTTCTGAGATAAAATGAGGACCCAGACTGTTGGGGACAATATGCTGACACTACAAAACTGCTTAGAGAGGGCTGTAAAGCGGTACATACGTCTAGGTGTTATTTCTTTTCTGCATCAACTACAGTTTTGAAATAGTCTCTCAAGGTGACTGGTGGAAATTACATTGTCATAGTCTATCTTAGGGGTCATATCAGCATGAATTTCCATTTGCGAATGTTTATAAGAGCAGCAGACTAATGCATTATAATTTGCTATTTATAGGAAAAAATGGTGGAATAAACAAATTAGTTTTCTCATTTGTTTGGTGGAAAATGTAGTGTCTGAATGAATCCATAAAAGCAATCTTTCAGATTGATTGTAATTATGCAGTGCTTTTCTCTTTTCTATGTCCCAAGTCCTGAGCCCAGTGTAGTTTATTTTCCATTGTTGCATCCAAATCACTTTATATATTAATCTAAGTTATTCTATCTTTAAAGTCAAATACTTCTGTCTAATACTTTGCATTGCTCATACAAATGTAGGCAGTATTTTTTCCAAATGTTTATTATCACAACTACTACTTTCAGAATTATTTATCTTTGTGTACTTGGGCTTTATTTCATTGATAGTATTCTAATACATAGATTGATATTAAATATTAGTAGGGCAAACTCATATATTTACTTAGAAGTAAAACACAACAGGATTTATTTCCACTGTCTTTCTCAATGAACTAAAACACGCAACAGCTCTTATTCCCAATAGCTTTCCATTTAAAAATTAGATTTTTTTAAATGGCAGATTTAATGTAAGCTAGCATGTCTGAAACACATTGGTAGTTTGAAAAATACCCCACTATTTAACCCTCCCTCCCTCCCTCCCTGAAATAAACTTTTTTGTCTGTAAGAATCTATAAAATCCAATATTTATTCTGTATTTTGTAGCCAGAAAGCCTATAGCCTACATTACATAGCTAATTTGTATAATACCCTGTTACCCTGAAAATAAGACCTCCCCGGATAATAAGCCCAATCGGGGCTTTTGAGCACATGCACTAAAATAAGCCCTCCCCCCAAAATAAGATCTCCCTGAAAATATTGCAACACAGCACCAGCCATGAGGTGACCACCCTCGCTGCCTCCTGCACCTCAAAAATAATAAGACCTCCCTGAAAATAAGGCTGTGCTTATTTGGGGGGGGGTGTCAAAAGAAAATAAGACCCCATCTTATTTTCAGGGAAACACGGTATTGGTTGGTGTCCTGTATTATGTATGAACACAATTAAAATAATGTGTTGCACATTTCTTATCTTAGGAGACTCTGCACTGATTTTTCTTGGATGGATGGAAATCTTAAAAGCACATTGCTAGTAATTACATGGTCTTTCTGTGCTTTCTATTTAACTGTCTTCTCAACTGATTCCTTATTGTTTCCAACCGGAACTATCAACTTGATTATATTTAGCAATCTTTTCAGTTCCAAGTGTTTGCATGAGAAAAATTGTGGAGGGTAGTATTTTAAATGAGCTTCAGAAGAATTAAGATTCCATATAGTCATTTTCAAGGGACGCGATGGCTCGGAAAGCTTGTCTATTGGAAAGGTCAGCAGTTCGGCGGTTCAAATGCTTAGTGCTGCGTAACAGTGACCTCCCATTACTTTTCCCAGCTTCTGCCAACCTAGCAGTTCGAAAGCATGTAAAAATGCAAGTAGAAAAACAGTGGGAAGATTACAGCATTCCATGGGCCTTCAGCATTTAGTCATGCCGGCCACATGACCACAGAGATGTCTTCAGACAGCGTTGGCTCTTTGGCTTTGAAATGGTGATGAGCACCACCCCCCTAGAGTCGGCAACAACTAGCATGTACGTGGGAGGGGAACCTTTACCTTAACCTATAGTCATTTTATAAAAAGAGTGAATTGCTGTTTCTAAGGGTTTGAACTTACATCAAATTATTAATGATTTAGGCTTCCATCTTTTTAACTTTTTCAACTTTGTTCTTGTTCTGTTCTTTTTGATGTGTGCTTTGGGTTTGTTCTCCATTTCTTCTTCTGTGCAATATGGGAAAGAGACTGCCTTTCCTTCTCCCTCTTTCCAGAATAAGGGCACCTGAATGCATGAATAGGTACCAAATATCACTTTTTCATCCCTGTTGTGAATGTGAATGTGGTGTATTTAAAAATGGTTGTGAATTAGAACTATGTATCCCAATTTATGGCTCACAAAATTCTTGTGTGTTTTGCTGTTACTGATTGTCTCTGCACTTACAATCATAGCTTTTTATGTTGCTTATTTGGTGTGCTGCTAAGAGATAACTGGCTTATATTTAGACATTGCTGCTTTATGCTATCAGTTACACATGGTGGAGATAGTCTTTCTAGTGGCAGGGTTTGCTGATAACATGACGTGTGTTGCTTACTCTAATTGTGTAAGCTTGCTTTCTTTTACCACCAAATGTGGATATTGGCAAAGTTCTGGTTTCGGCTTTTTTAACTAGACTATCAATAAAAAGGCTGTTCTATAGTCCCTCATCTGGAGGAAGTAGTGTGCTGCATTAGGAACCAGTCAATCTTTATTATGATAATATAACACATCTTAAAATTCAGCTAGCCCATAACCAAAACCAAGCATAAATTATTTATTGTTCCTAATGTAAGCTACAAATGGCTTATCAGATCAGTTATGGGTTTTTTTGGTCATTCTCACCATTACTTGGACAACTATGCTAATTCTAGAATATCCTGATCAGTACTGACCACGTTATTGTTGCTGATTGCATAAAAAATGAAGAGACTCACAGTTACAATGTCAATACTAAGGAAACCAGTTTTTTTAAAAATTAATTAATTAATTAATTAATTAATTAATTAATTAATTAATTAATTAAT